AAATGGTTGGCTAAATTACTACAGCCCGTAAGAATTTAGTTTAGCGAAACAGCGTACGAGACACATTCATTTTTGTGAACAGCACTCATGAATTAAACTTGATGGGTCGGACAATGGTTTCATTGGACGTTAGCTCGCTCTTCACCAAAGTTGCAACCAGCGAAACCGTCGAATACCTATGTAGTTATGTACAAAGTAACAATGCTGAGATAGGCCTTCCTTTGGAAGACCTGAAACGACTGCTTTATTTTTGCACATACAACGTCCAATTCAAGNGCTCGCTCTTCACCAATGTTCCAGTCAGCGAAACCATCGAATATCCGTGTAGTTATGTACAAAGTAACAATGTTGAGATAGGCCTTCCTCTGGAAGACCTAAAACGACTGCTTTATTTTTGCACATACAACGTCCAATTCAAGTTCAACGAGCAAATTTATCGACGAAAGGATGGTGTGGCTATGGGATCACCTCTAGGACCTTTGTTTGCCGGTGTGTTCATGGCGAAACTCGAAAATAACGAACTCAAATCTTCCATTCAGGATTGTGTGTTATATGCACGATATGTGGATGATATTCTGTGCGTGATCAATACAACATCAGGAACAAATGAGCTCTTGAGCAAATTCAGTGCTGCTCACCAGAACATAATATTTACTTCCACCCGAAAAGTCGATCAAAGCACTGTCACTTGTGATCCGTCCCTAATCAAATCACATTTTGCCTCAACTGAATAAGTTAGACTTTCATTGATTGGAACGCGATCGATTTTACGACTTCTCCAATCTTTATAAATAAGCATATGCCCCCTTCCCCCCCCCACATTTCATTTTGTTTCAGATCAGGCCGCCTCAATTGCTGAGCTGGGGATTGAGGAGTGGCAATTCAATCAACATGCTGGTGAGTATGCAAATTATTGCCCGGTTAGTTTACAAGAACTTGGCGAATTTGCTGATACTGTTCGGGAACCGAAACATGAATTTTTTATTACAGTCGGAGAGAATAACTTCACCAGTGAACGGGTTTCAGGGGAATTTAATATGTCTAACAAAGAAGAGAACGATCGACCGACAGATAATGAACCCGTAAATGAGAACGATGGCGCACAGGACGCGTTGAACGACCAGTTGCCAGATACTGATTTCATCCGAATTCCTACAACCATGAGATTTGCAGCTGAGTACCATGGAAGATACTACCGCATGGCTGGACCAGAAGAACTGGCCAAGTTTCTGGCTGATCCAACACCTTACCTACCCCCGTTGGCTTCTAATTCACTTCCCAAAGAAAGTGAACTACCAGAGAGAATTCCGGCCAACAGTACCTTATTGAGTCGAGACGCGTTTCCCACACAAATAGTTCTACGCGGCTATTGTCCCGTGTGCTTCCTTGAAGGACATCAGCGGTACGAAGCGTTGAAATTGGGCGTGCGTGAATATTTGGCTTCGTATGTGAATGAGGTATACACATTCTGCTCCAATGACTGCTTGCTGAAGTTTCTGAGGTAAATATTTCAACTAATATCATTATTATTATTACTATATTACGTAGTTAGTGCTTGATACATTTTATCTCCAGTTTAAATGGTTCACTGACCCAACCATCTATTAGTTGATTGATTAATCCATTTGAGTTGTTTGTTGTCCCATTGTTCCATCCCGTTGGCGGAAATCGAAACCTATCTCTCGACAGTTAACATAATGAGTTTATGGAACCGATATTGTGCAATAAGCAGTAATAGAATTTCTTGTTCGTCTCACTGAACACTGCATAGTCCAAATCCTTTGGCTGTGGAGAAGCAAGTGACACTGAATTTGTATCAGTTCGTATATCTTACAGATTTTCGAGCGTTGCGCTCATGGTACCAGCAGAATGAATAAAAACGGAATCCAGTGAAAATGTTCCAGCTACCCCGGAAAGCCGTGTTCGGTCACTCCAAACCACCACCTTCAAGAGAAATATTTCTGTGAATAAGGCTACCACAACAAAGTTAGTACCAGTTTATGTGTGTCTGTTTTGGTGTTCAATTGTGACCTGCTGCGAGCAGGGTTGGGGTGTGTGTTGATATCACACATGAGATTGTGTGAGATGACGGAACAGTCAAGAGAACGCCACATCCAGTCATCGACAGTTCGTTCTTCCTTGGGCGGTTGACGCACTGATCAGCAAGGCTTTGAGGATCATTCATTTTTGACGCCGCGAATACCTTCTGGTAAAACGGCGGTCAAATTCGATCATTTATCTGTCGTATTAATCGTAAACAAAAACAGTATACTTATGCTTCCATGCTCGGAGAGCGGGCCAATTTTCTAGTCTGTTTTCAATGTTCCAGAATGTGTTTTTCTTCTGCGTTACAACCGAGAAGAAGAAAGCCCTTTTTATAAAACTTCCATTCAAAGGAGGTATCGCTGCTGACAGGGTCATTAAAGTTTTATCCAGTTTTAATGCCGCTCAGCTATGATGCGTGCTCTCTACATCACCAAATATCCGATGCTATAATAAAGATAAGTTCCCTTTGTTGACCTCATCCATGATTCTCTATCAGTTCAATTGCACCTGTGGTGCAAACGACAAAGTAGCTATCTCAACGTATCAAAGAACACAATCCACGCCGGCTCACATGCGTTGGGAGTGGAGCTGTGTTGAGCTTGATCGTTGCTCATTTGACAGAGACTGGACACTTGATTGACACGCGCTCGGCATTCACAATCATTTGTCGAGTCCCACTACACCCCTCGAGAGCAATACGGTTCCGGACGTTAGCTTCCAATTCATGAAGCCTGAACTGTACGCACAACAAAAATTATCCAAGCTCTCAAACTGGTGGTAAAGTTACCAATTTATCACCCTGGGGAAGTGTACCCGAATCCCACCACCACCGCCTGACTTCCCCCTTCTCGAATGTGTTGAATGGCCGCTTCTCCCTTCCTGAAAATTGTATCCTTGTATATTCAATAAAAGGAATTAAACTGAAAAGAAAAAGTCCCATGGCCAAGGGAAGAAAAAATCGCTTGTTAATATGATGATGACTGCGCATGGGGTGTTTCAGTCACATAATCCAAACAACTTATAAATCTGAGTTCTCTCGGGCTCAATACCACACACAAGACTTATTCACTCAGCTAATTGATTCTACTGAAACTGCTTCATATGAATGTGATTGTAAAAGCCTGAGAAGGAATTCCCGAAAACCATCTGTTCGCCAGATATCAATTCATGTGTAGCTTTCCTGAGGATTTGTTTATTCAAATGGCCGCCGTGAAATCTTGCAGTCTGGTACGTTATAAAACATAGTTACTTGGTACTGTACTCAACTGCGGCTTTGATGTACACATGATGATGTTTACTGAACGTTTATAGCCTGTTTTAGGATCTGGGATACGTAGATAACCGCAAACGTTCGAAACCCACATATAATTGTTGATAGGTCGTGTTGGTATTCCAGGCTTTCACTCTACAAAAGACGTGCGGATACACTAGACCCGTGTTTTAAATGTAACCGAGATGAACTGTCTAACTCCTGTTTCAAATTCCATAAGAGGTCTGCAACTTTTTGTTTGGTATTTGTTCTAACCAGTTTTTGCAGCAATCAAAATGTATTGTCCTTTCGTTAGTATGAGAATCCAACCGATTCAACATCATAATCCTATGTCCTTTATCAGACGCTGTAATTGTTACGAATTTGTGATTGCTGTGTGAATTCCGTGCATCGCTTCCAAATGCGCTCAAAATTTTTGGGTTCTCTCTGACATTTCACTCCCTACACCAGGATTCAGACGCGTGTGAAATATAATATAATAATGGATGCATCGGCCTTATTGAGTGTCTGTTTTTTTCCTGTTAGCGAAAACTTCGAATGAACAGGATCAAGTACATACACGACTATTCACAAAGTTCACCTCGAAAACTATCAATTGCTAAACTACATTTTTGTAATCTGATTCTCAAACATTGATTTCCATGTGAGACATTTCGCAACTGTCTTTTATTTCTCGGTAACGTTGGACGTTTTACTTTAGCCCTCCTCTACGGAAACTTCTGTGCGTACGTGTTTCACCTCGTTTAGATATTCTATAGGGAGTTTCTTATTCTCAATCCACATCACTGACCAAGAGAGAAAGTTACAAAAAACTCGAATTCATCATTCGTAAGTTCTCTTGACTGTCAAATGCAAGCAGCTTCTTTTTATGCAATTTTACTAGTCACTTAGATACTGTCCTTACTAAGAGTAAGAATATAAGTGAATATTTAAGAACGCAGAATATTTGAGTCGGTGGTTATTATGTAACGATTATTTTATCGATTCGACCCATACATCATCCCAAATAGGTGAAACAACTTATTTCTTTGAATCGGCTCAAGTCGATAGCAGTCCTTATTGACTTTCTACAATCTCAAGCTGATTTCCTCATTACAGTGATCGATCCTCCTTT